TATAAATAATTTTAAATTTTTTAAAAAAACAAAACAAAAGCAAACAATGCAAAAACAATAAGCAAGTAAAGTAGAACGTGTGAAATACGTTTCGATTTTTGAAAGAAAAAAAAAACAAAATATTTGAAAAAACAACACTTATTGAATTTGAATATTTTTCTTTTACTTGGCCGCAGCATCTCTGTGTGCGTGCGTGCGTGTGTGCTTGTCTGTGTGCATGATTGTGTATCGTTTTATCGATAATGATCGTGAGAAGGTTTATAGTGTGGTCGACCCTGGCTTGTCGAAGGCGGCTGCCTGTCAACAGGCGAGGTGAAGAGGCGTCGTGAAATAACGGACGGGCGTAAGTGAGGAAGAGCGAAGAATGACAGGACAATTATTTTGGCGTTTTATTATTTCTGTTTCTCAACATCAAAGAAGAACCGTAAGAGGAAGCAGAAAAGGAAAACAGTTGACAGTAGACAGTGTCGAAGATTTTGTTGACGAAATTGCTAGCAAAACCTGACGTAATTTAATAAGCTGAAACATTTTGATTATTATTCATTATATACTGAGGATAACACACAAAATTTCCGTTCTCATTGTCAGAAAGAATAATAAGGCAGTTGTCCAACATTAGAGTAAAATTAAAGCTTAGATCCCAAAGATACATGGGAAGACGTTTATTTAGATGACAAAACACACACTGACTGTTAATTGTAAAACAATTTCATTTATTTACACCTTTTATTTACCATTTTAATACAATATATGTAAAACCCTTTTTTTGTTTTTGATTAATCTATTGAAAAATGAAAACTACATAAAATATATGTGCATCGTAAAGGTAAAAAAGAAAAAAAATTATATATATATATATATATATATATACATATATATGAATACCTACTATATACAACTATATATACTATACACATATAATTATATATATAACAATTTAAAGGTAAAATAAATCTAAATATTGTATTAATGAAGTGTTGCACTTTCAAGCTAAAATCAGATGAAACAAAAATAAGAAGAGAGCTATAAATTAAGTGTAAATGTTTGTCAGCACTCACACACACACACACACACACACACACTGTTGTAGAACAAAGTCCAAGTGCAACAGTTCGAATCGACGAATAGTTATGTCCAGACATCCGGAGTACATTCACATTGGGAGCACCCAGTAACCACCACAACAGCAGAAGCAATGGAACCAAAATGATTGAATTATTTTGTTTGTGTTTTAGTTACGTTTTGATGTCATTTGGTGTGTATATGGTTTTTGGTTCTTTAATTATTGTTGGTTTCTTTATCAGAAGAGGTGTACGAGCGGCTCTACTATTGATTTGATGGATTTTTCGTTATCGTTCTTTCGCTGGGAGTTTTGTGTTGTTTTTGCGCTTTTCGACGTTTCCAATGCAGGATCAGATTCAGATCATAAGAACCATAAATGAAACAATAATGTAAGGGTTATTTATTTAACATACGAGTACTTACTGATAAGCTAATATACGAATGAAATGATGCGCCAAAATGCAACACCCAATGAAACCAATGAAGCAAATGCGTTGTGTACATTGTATAGCCTCTACGTACGAACATACAACAAAACATACTACTATATACTACATAGGCTCTAGGGTGACGAAAGACGAACAAAGATGCTTATCAGTGTGTTTTCGATCTATAGTTATAACGTTTAAGTTCTCTCGAATTTGTTTCCGCATCGGATATTTCGACTGGTACCCCATAGTTAAGCTAAGCGATGAACAAACTGAATGATCGACGAGACGAGACGGGCTAGAAACAAATCGATCTTTTTCTAAATATGCTAGAATTTTAAAATGTGTTTTGTCTGATACAAATACCAATTTACCCAACCCTAACCAGCCCCAGGCCTTCCTGCAAAACGTTGTTTTTATGTAATGAAGTAACTCTTAGCCATTAAAACTAGAATGATTTGAAATAAGATTGAGATTTAACAGATATCTAAGCTAAATTCCTAAGACAAAACGATTCCACCTAAGACACCTTTTTGTAATGACTAAATTTATATAGGGCAAAGATGCGAGAACAACCGACAACAACAAAACAAAAGAGATTCAATAAATGATAAAGAAACTCAATAAGATAAAAGATCAACTAGCATATATACCTACCATCTATATGTATGTATATACGAGTATGTGGGTGGCATGTTTTGTATCTGTATTTTTACTCGTATTGATTGATTTTGTAAGATTCATTTCGCATAAATACTCGTACAATTAGGGACAACACTTTCATGTTTATGATGACGATTGGGGGACAAACAAATCTACTTGGATAAGGAAAGGGTCAGGTCAGTTCAGGTCGAAGCTGGAATGGAATGATGATTGTTATAGTGCATCAAATTGTTTATTGATTTGTTAAACCTAAAAAACAACCAACCAACACACACACACATCCATTTCTAAGCCCCAACACTTTGGTTCGTTCTTAAGCATAAATTCGAAACGAGGTATGTATGTATATGGTATATGGTAATTTTAAATGCAGAGAATAGTGAAACCAAAACTAATTTGTATGTAGATGATAATAATAATAATAATAACTAAAAAATAGACAAAAATACGGAAAAACGCAGAAAAAAAGAGAAAAACTATGCAAAATAACCGAAACGAAACAAAACAAAACCAAAAAAAAACATAAGATAAAAACCAAAATTGAGACTGTTAACAAAATGCAACAAAATGAAGCAGTTTAAGGCCGAGAGAGACCCCCGGGGAAGTTGAACGTAAATTCATACAACAGTTTAAAACAATAAAAGAAAACCAAAAAACTATAAAACTCGTAACTCGATTGAGACTCAGATGAATAAATAGGCTACCAGCATAAGTTCGTGTAAGGATTATGTTTCACACAGCCACAAACACACACAATTTATTATTCGCTTTTGTTTTGGGATATTTTATTCTGTAAATTCGATGAGGGACTTTTCGTTTTAATTGTTTCGATGAGCAGATAACCAACAAATCAAAGTATTAGGATAACAATAGCAACTCAAAAGGAAATCAAACGGCTAACGGAACCTAGTAGAATGAGAGTTAAATGTTTGTAAGGCCAAATGTGAAGAGAACTTTCGATGAATTTGAATTTTTTACCAAACGAAAAACTTAGAAAACTGAAATCTTAAACTGATTAGCTGATTACTCGCATTGAAAATGAAACTGAACAGTTAGTTGTACTTCTGAGTAGTCATAGCCACCTCCCAGAGACACACATAGACATACGCCATACGCCTCCCACACCTGCATATACATACATACATACATATATAGGAAGCTACTTGTAACGGTTTTAGGCATATAAGTGTTGTTGCGACTTGAAAGCTGAAAGGAATGAAATGGAATAATATAAACATACTCGTAAAACTTCGGTTCTAGGCATTCCAAACGAGATCAAACGACGGGGCTTTGGGTTTTTCTTAGACTTTTCTACGTGTACTTTTAAATCAGCATAGAGAGAGGAAGAGAGAGTAAGAGGAGAGAGCTACTGACAGGGAGACACTTATATAGTAGTAGAAGTTTAACATTAACATTCGAATAACACAGCCGTAAACAGCATGGATTAAGGATTAAACAGTGAGGACAGGACTTAACCTGACTTAACTTACAAAAAACATAGATACAAGGACATACATACATTACATACATGCAGCAGAGAGCAGCTAATGAAATAATAAGGAAATAACTGAAAAAAAACAACATGAGAGTAAATACGAAGTACATACTTACATATAGTGTTGCAAGGATTTTAGTTTACGGTAAACTTAAAGAAATTTTTTACAATGTATTTATACATACCTAAATTTAAATTTTAAATTAATTCTTTAATGTAATACGAACACAGTGCCTAAGTAATATCAAAACAAAAACAAAAAATGGAAAGAAAAACCAAAACAAAAAGCAAATAAGGAAACATACATAAGACAAACCATAAGACATACAAAAACGAATATAAGCGATGTAAGGACATTGTTACTAAAGAAAGAAAAAGGCTAAGACGAAACGAATGAAACACTTGAACAATATAATAATTGAACAACTTTTAAATGCAGAACGAAAAGAGAAAACCCATTTGCAACTATAAAAAAAAAAACAAAACAATTTATACAAACAAATACAAATCACACACAAGATGAAGAATGAGGAATGAGAACAGGAAATTGAAATGGAAACGGACGTCGAACCGACAGATGAGATAACTAGAAAACTAATACCCAATCCCAAAAAATTGCATAAATGTATAAATGTAACTCGATAAAACATGAAAAAAATCCTAAGAAAATAACAAAACCAAAATTTAAAAACAAAACAACGTACCTCCTACATACGTCTCTCGTACTAGATTTGAACACCTTAAAATTTGCAAAGAACCCGAACCCAACCCAACCAGTCCAGTCGTCCCTCAAGACCTATCCAATCAATCGATTTAGTTTAGATCTGATGAGCATGCCACGTACTCAAAAAAATGACATCAAATTGCAACTTCAAACATCATTTTGGTTTTTGCATATTGGATTGGTTTACGTTTTGAACACATGATCAAAACGCATGAAATATACACTCGAATATATGAACATTGTTTTTGCCCCCTAAGAAAGTTAAACGTAACGTAACATAAACGTTTTTTGATTAATTTAAAGGAAACAAATAAAAACAATAAGTAAATTACAAGAAATTAATTATAAATTCAACAAAACAACAAAAAATTATGTTTAACAAAAAGAAAATTAATGTAGTGTGTAAAAACAAACAAGAAAAAATGAAAAGAAAAAAGAAGAAAAAAAAACAAGTTTTAAGCAAAACAAAATACTTTGAATATATACATAAATTGCAAGTAAATAGAATAAATGTCACTCACTCTTTTTATTTAACACAGATTCATTGATTGATTGGGTTCAATATATGACTTGTTAGAAATGGAGATCATAGGAGTCTTTGTTTATAACAGAAAATAATTCTACTTTTCGTTTCATTATACTCAAAATTAAGCAAAATTCAAATAGTAAATTCGAAATCTGTATCTTCTTAAGACTCTTCGCAATGTTGGAACTCGTGGTATTATTTCTTCTTAGTTCCGTTTCCTTTTTCGTGGCCCATGTGGAGAAACCAACATCTTTTTCGGGCTACAAAGATGCCGCTTGTCCCATTGCCATGGGCATACTCGCCGCTGGATTGGTGTACAAAAATGTTTGTGTTTCTTTATGGATTATATTATCCAATACAATTATTTACTTTATCCCTCAATTTCAGCGGTAAAAGGCAAAGGGTTTTTATTGAAAAAGATGACTTTATTTTGGCTGCAGATAAAAAAAAAACTAAAAATGAAGTAAAATCATTAAAAATCAACGAATAAATCTAATGAAATGGTATGATCGGGTGCTGCATTTGGGGAGTGGTTTGAACGAATATTTTATTGCTATGATTAATGAATGAATCAAATTGATGACTACTACTTGGCTACGCGGCGTCTGGGTGTGGCGGGACTGGTGCCACTGGGCGGTTTTGGGATCTAAAAGGAACGAAAATTTAGAACACAATTATCATAGAGCTCAGAATTCTTACCGAACGTATGGGTCTGGGGGTGAGGGAATTGGCAGGCGGCGGCTCGCGTGGCTGTGGCCCATCGGGATGTCCCACAACGGTGACGGCCACAGGTCTGTGTTCGGTGCCAGACCGCTCCATGCTCTCGCTGCGTGAGTTCGACCCGGAGCGCTTGAACATTCCAGAGAGACGTCCGCGCAGGTCCTTCTTGCTGGATCTCATGTCGCTGGCAACGCTGATGTCAGAGTCGGATCCTTGAATCTGCCAAAGGGTAAGGAGAATTATAGAAATCTCGAAAGTTTCATACTGTTTGTGGGGTCCTACCGATATTTCACTCTCGGAATTGCGACTGCTTTTGGTCAGGCTGCGTAGCTTGCCCATGATGCCCTTCTTCTTTTTGCGTGGACCTCGCGGTATGTCGCTCTGAGTGGAGCCGCCAGACAGGCGCGAATCGAGGCGTGAGTCTAGGCTGGAGTCACGCACCAGACCGCCCAGCTCAGAGTCAATGGACTGCATCGAAGACACACTGCCATCGTCCTGCCGCCAAATGTTCTATGAAATGTATAAGAACCGATTATAGTTCTTCCTCGGTACACCTGAAATGCTCTGACTTCACCTGATCTCTTTGTATGGAGTGATCCAGCGACAGGCTCTTGCGTATGAGGCTGCCATTGTTGCCCGAATTGCGGGACAAACGAACGCCGCCACGCTGGGAACCTGCTGCACTGGCCACGGAACTGGTGCTGCCATGATGATCGTTCTCCTGCGAGGCAGCACGTCGCAGATTACCCCTCCTTATGCGACTACGCTCCTGCTCATCCTCGTTCAGACGCTGGAACTTGCGCAGCTCCTCGGAGGCCTCGGCCAACCGGGCCAGCACGGTGCTGATCTGAGTGCTGCTCAGCGTAGGCGAGGGACTGCGACTGCGTCGTACATTCGGCTGTTCCGGTCGTAGGGTGTTGTCGTAGCTGCTTCGGGCCATTTTCAGATCTGGAGCAATCTTCACCAACTCGTCGACGGTCTGCAGTAGGGCACCCACTTTGCGATCACCTCCATCCGCCTCCATGCGTCGCTTGACCAGCTCTTTCTCGTAGCGTTCGCGCTGGAATTGAACAAGAGATTGGAGATTGAAACTATAGAAACTACTCGATGGAAACTACTCACTTCTCGTCTTAGTTTCTCATTGGAGGTACGCAGCTTGGCATGGACATCACGCAGCTCGAGGAGATCGCACTGCAATTCAGCGATCTTCTTGCGTCCCTCTTCCATTTCCTCTTCGGTAGCTCGCTTGATTTGATCCAGCTTACGCTTGGACTCCAGCCGCTCCTTGTCCCGCTCACGTTCCACCTCGAACAGAGTCTGTCGCAGATCCCGGGCCAGTGTGGAGGTTTCTTGCAAAAGACGTTGCTGATCCTCACGCTCCTTCTGCCAGGATAGCTCCAGTTTCGTCTTCATGCCAGGCAGCTTTGTGCTGCCGGAGCCAATCACACGTTCCTCTTCGAACTCATTCAGCTTCGACCGCATCTCGGATATTTTGATCTCATTGGCACTGCGCTCGGACACAAGCTCCGTCTTGACCTTGCTACCCTCCAGGCGTGACTCCACCAACTGATCCTCCAGATGACCAATCTACAAAGTGGTATACGCCATTAAAAACTATCTACAATGGCAGGGATCGCCTGTTCACCTGTTGCTCTAGATAGGCAATCTTGCTCTTGTCATCATCATCGCTGCTGTGCATGGATCCACGACTCTGTCTACCCGTATTGTTGGCCTTCAGATCACCGATCTTCTTCTGTGCAACCTCTAGCATCTGCTTGAAGGCATCACGATCCTTTTTGAAGCGTTCACATTGGCGCTAGTTGGGGATAACTTTCGGTTATTACTTAGTTCCATTAGCACTATTTTTCTGAGTATTTTTACCTGCATTGAATTGAGCTCTCCACTGAGATTCTTCACCTGCTGCTCGTATCTAAGGCGTGTGGTGGCCACCTCGGATTTCATCTGCAGTTCGGTGCTCTGTAATCTGTTTAAAAAATGAGAAAGGAACATAACAATCGGAGAATAATCCATGACCCCACATAGATAATTCTTACTTTTCCTTTAGCTCCCTGATCTCTGCATCCCTTCGGGCGCCATGGCCGTTGAGCGAGACCTGGGCCTGCTCGATCCGATTGTAGTCGCTCAGTTTGCCATTGAGATCATCGTTGTCCTTGCGCAGCTGGAACACCAAATCGATATTCATCTCATTCTCTCTGCGCAGACGCTCGTACTCGTGCTCCTTCTCGGCCAGCTTGTTCTTTAGCATAGTGCGCTCGTGATCACCATTGTTGCCGGTCTTCAGGGTCTTGGCCTGCAGTTCGGCAATCTTTTTCTGTGCCTCGTTCAGCTTGCGGGCCATGTCGGTGCGCTCGATGCGTATGGTGTCCATTTCGGACAGTTTCTGCTTGCTGGCATTGAGTTCGGCCTGGAGGTTCTGCTTCTCGGTGGTTAGCTGTGCCCGCATTAGGATTGTCTCCTCGGATAGCTTCTCCCAGTGAGTGTTAAGATCCTCGTTGCGCTTCTGTTCGACGCTCAGCGATGTCTGGATGTCCTCCACTTGCTTTTTGAGGTCCTGCACTTGCTTGCTGTCCGATTTACTGGCCTTGGTCTTCAGATCCTTGATGTCCTTCTCCAGCGCGGATTTAGTCTTCTCCGCGGACTTCTTGGCTGACTGCAGCTCCGCATCCAGCTGGAGAATCTTCGACTCTAACTTTTCCTTTTCTCTGCTCTGCTTTTCGAGATCCTTCTCCAGGCTAGACAGCTTCTCCTTCTCCCGCTTGCTCTGGCTCTCCAGTGTGGATTTGTTTGTCTCGCTCTGCTTCAGCTGTGTGTCCTGCTTCTTGAGCTTCTCTTCCAGCTCCTTGAGCTTCGTGCCCAACTTCTTGCCATCCTCATCGCTGCGCTTCAGCTTTTGCTCCAGTTCGCTGGCTTTGCTGCTTGAGCCACTGAGGATCTTCAGTCGCTGCACATCGCCCTCGGCCAGCGTCAGCTTTTTCTTTGACTTTTGCAGCTCTTCTTCGAGTGACACTTTGGCAGCTTCTAGGGCCTTCACCTGATCGAAGCCACTCGAACTGAGCATCACACGCATCTCGCTGATCTCATCCTCCAGCTCTTCCACCCACTTTTTGAGATGACTCTTCGGGGTGAGGTCGTTGACCCGCTTTGCTGTGCGGGCCGGCAGCTTGGCATCTGCCTCCAGCTGCATTCGCTTCAACCTGGCCGTCAGTTCATCCCTCTCCCGCTGGGCCACTGTCAGAGTCTCCTTCATCTTGGACAGATCCGTCTCGCCCATCTTCTCGTTGGCCTTGCGCAGCGTCTGCAGACGTTTGTTCTCCTTCGACAGCTTCTCGTTCTCCACTTCCAGACTGCTCACTTTGCCAAGCTGCTCCTTTAGGCTGTTCACTGTCTGCTCCTTTTCCAGCAGGCTCTTTCGCAGATGGGTCAAGTCTTCGTTAAGGGTTTTCAGCTTCTTTTCAGCCGCACTGGAGGAGGAGGTGCCAAAACTGAGTAGCGAGGATTTGCTGCCATTCGAAGAAGCGTCCGGTCGCAGCTTGGCCTGAAGCTCGCGCACATATTTCTTGGACTCAGCATTCTCCTTCTCCAGATCCTCCACTTTCAGGCGCAGTATGGAGGCCTCCTGCTCGTTGAGCTCCAGTAGGATGCGCAGTTCGGCTGGATCATCCTCGTCAGAGATGCCCTCATCACGATCCGCATGCACCTCGGGCGCCAATCGATGGGCAGCATGTGGTGTGGGACTCAGCTTGCGTGCTGCCGGGGAACACAGAAAATAGATTAATATAAGTTATGTTTAGTTAGTAGCTGCTGTTAGTTGGATGCCTTAGTCAGTAACAACACTAATTAATGAGCAGCCGCAAAAAAATGGCAAGAAGTTAATCATCGGATCTTACAAAGCGCATGAGAAAAATCAAATTAGTTTTGTTAGGTCAACGTTTTGGTTCGTTCATCAGCTTTGGTCACTCCAATTTCAGAGCGTTGTGGTATGACCGAAACAAAACGAAATGCAACCGAACGAAGTTATTTATAGTTGAAATTAAGTAATTGTTTTGTTGATCTATAAACTAAGGTTAGGAGCTTAGTAAGAGAAAGATTGTGTGTATTTTGGTTCGTACTTCTTGAGCGCGTTGCCATTTTTTTCAACTGCATCATCAAAGACTCATTTTCATCCTCGAAACGAGTCACCTTTTTCCTCAGATGTTCAGCCTGAAACACACAAAAATCTCGTATCATTTATTGCATCTGAATGGTATGGAATAAGGTTACGGAATACGGAATGGTAAAACCCATCTACAGATCGTTTTCGAGGATCAAAATAGTTTTTTGCTACATAACGAAAGCTTGAATGGTACATGGAGACTGCACTACAAAACATTTTGCTAGGAATACGAGTGTACATAAAAGAGCAATCAATCAGCAACGGTTTTGTGTGGACGGATAATCTTCTGGAGTTCTTCTACCTGTTCCATTCAGAAGAACATGCGAAATGGCACTGGGGAAGAGCAGAGAACGCGAGTGACCCAATCTCCCAGATGTTGAGGGTGCAAAGAGCGACAAAAATGGCGACGGTGTCGTCTCCCGTTCGCATGAAGCATTTCTCGCCATCGATTCGAAATCGGTTTGGCTGTGAATGTCAGCTGAGGGTGCGCACAATTCCATGCTGGTGACGGCATCGCACTGCTCTATGGCCATCGTCTGAGTGGCACGTGGAAAGGCAATTGCCTCGGGTGGCAGCTCGGGATTGGTCTGA